AGAGGTCACAGGACAATATAAATGACATATTCTGACTCAGCATTGAATGGACTTTCATATCCAATCAAAAAATCCCGATTGCCAGCTTAGCAAATTCTGTATTGTATTATGACAGTGTTCTTATTATCTACTTTTTAAAATTAATAAAAAGCTTATTTTCTCAAATCTGTGGAATAATTTTAAAACTGAAATAATTATTTATCTAATTATAATTAACAATACCATAAGTTCTATACTACAATAATTGCATAATTGACGTTAACAACACCATGATGCACAAGTTAAAGTTCACGCTAGTCAAATTGTAATCATAAATAGTATGCTACTAAAATATTATTAACAATTAATCACTACCGGATCTAACAATCCCATATAAGTAAAATAATTATAAATTACTACAAGTCTTTTCATAATAATTTTAATGTAATATTGTTAATGGCAGTATGAACATTTGTATTACATTTATAACATTTACATATAAATTCAATGTAAAGGAAATTCTTAAATAAATCCATAAATAGATAATTTTACCAAATTATAACTACAATGCAAACATGTTTAATATTATTTAGACAGTATATGACTGTATTTTAGTAATATAATCAGAACATGTTAAACTTATTTTGTTTATTATTTTTAATGCAAATACAAAATGGACTGTCGTTACAATTTACTAAATCATTACGGCTTGTGTGGAACGATGAGTTTTCTACTGATTACCTTGATACTAAAAAGTGGATGATAGGCATTAGAAATGACTGCAATAGTAAGCAAATTGTTTTTGGAAAATATTTGTTTTATTTAAATGCTATTTAATTATTCTTGTTAATTCTCTCTCTCTTTCTCTCTCTCTCTCTCTCACTCACTCACTCACTCATTGTGATTTCAAAATAACTATTTCAGTCAATTGAAAACAATAAATAAAAATAAATATTACCGGAAAGTTAACAAGATTGATGATGAGTATTTTTAACTTTCCGGCAATATTTCTTCACATTTTTCTGTTTTCTATCGACTGATTTATATTAATTTCAACCATTTAATAGAGTATAATGAGAATAACATAGCGTGTGTTATGTCATCAAACAATATCCAACTCGCGAACCAAACCCTCGCCCTAACTGTTAGGCCCGAGAATCACACGAAACACAACATACCCGACGATAAGCCCCTGTTCTCACGGCCCGAGCTATTAGTGAACTTTGATTGGCGTACGACCAACTATTTAGCTATAAGAGCGGCATTGCCACAGGGTCAATTATTTTACCCATTTGTACACGTGAGAACCTTGGTGTACAACACCATTGTTGACATTCCCATAATCAGTCCCTTTGGATACTATGACGACCCGTATGCGAGACAGACGATAAAGCAAATGCTCAACGAGGACCTAGCTCAATTTCATACGTACACCATCGAGTGGAACGATACTCATTATGAATGGAGTTTTAATTATAAATACTCGTATACTGCACCTTATAATTCTCTTGATTCTAGAACCAGGTCTATTGGATCCCAAGCAGAATTGATAAGCGAGGTGAAAGTTGGCATTAATAAAGGCGATATTATTGCCTCAAATGATTACCTAAAGTGGAAGTGTTCGGCACTTATCATAGATTATGTTCGCCTCTATCGATGGACTGATGACAATACGGACCTTTCAGATGATACACTACATGAGAGCACTGCCACCGCCCCCGAGATTTGTAAGACTATTATGGATGATATCGTTGGAAAGGAGCGCATTTCTGATACCGTAACGGATATACCTGGATATAATACTATTGTAGCAAAGCCAAGTACAAACACAATTGGTGTTATGGTATTAATAGTAGTGGTGATAATCAGTTTGGTTTTGGTGTTGACATTAGTATCCGGCTTAATATTCATGTATTGCAAGCATAAGAGAGTGAAACGGATTAACCGAGAGATGGTGTCCGATGTTTACGACGACAACCGTTTGGATGACTA